AAAATGTAAATATTAAAAAAATAAAATTTCTATATTTCTAGGATTAGTGACACAAACTTGTACGGAAGAATTAATACAAGCTAGTTCATAACAATAATTAATGCTTTTTGAACGGGACATTTTTGACTTTATTTAAGAATAAAATAGCACAACGAAATAATGCCTTATACAACTTCAATATTGTAATACATGTCCACTATGATCTAAAACAAACCACAAAAACAATAAATCTATTATATCTATATAAAAGCACAATCACAAATTGCAATCCAATTAAGCCGCCACATTCCTTAGATCTACGGCCCAATTTCATTCCATCAAAAAACAATCAAATCCTCCGGTGTGTTGGGATAGATACCAAGTTAAAATTAAAACAAATCTAATCTCAAATCTAAGCCCTTGATCTTCACCCCAAATCCTTAAAAAACCGTAGATAATTTTAAAAAACAAAACTGCCCTTTCACGACTCTCTACGCGGCGGGAACATAGGGTCGCGCACGCCTCTACGCACTTTCAGTTTATCGGGCATGAAAAAAATCAAACTGCCAAATGACCCCCCCCCCCCCACTTCTTTCACGATGCTTTCCATATATTTGTAAAGTCAGACCAGTTCTTTTCTCTTTATAATTGTCACTCTCCTGTAAACATGTCTCCGAATTGGGTCTCTCTCAACAGGCTTCACGCTGCTAGACATCGGGATCCTGTGAAACTTTGGCTCCTGCGTCATAATGATCCCAAGTTAAGAAAGAGTGTAGAAAACACAGCCTATGCCCACGAATCAATTTTTCAAGATGAGCAGGTTCATATCGATTTCTTAATACATCATTAAACATAGCATTCACTTTCTAATTTTTTTACTGTAGGAAAATCGCATGCATGCTTTTTGGAAAAAGGCGTTGATATCACGCTTTAAGCCTTTACTGAAAGGACAAATACATGGAATAAAAAATCCCATTGTATCCAAAAATACTCAAAACTTGATTGATTATAATTACATATTATCATTGGTTAAGGACAGACCTATATCGGATGTCAATGATGAATCATTCCCCAAGATGGTGTTCAAGTTTGCTAATTTAGAAGTGCTCAACGATGCCACGAATATTCAATATTGCCATGTTTGGATTTCGTTAAAGAACAACCACTTCATCCTGTAGTTATTTTGCAATTTTGCAAGGGAACGAAATTTCAAGGACATATTTAAAAATAAAAAAAAAGTTACATCTAATACTAATGAAATTATATTAGTGCTTGTAGAGATGAAACACGCTTTGACTTTTTTTGATGTTACCAAACTCATATTGGATCAAAATTACCCACCTATATTAGAGTTTGAAAAACAGTAAGCGTTATGAGTATACCTTATTGAACTATATTGTTTACTAAATTTAAAGCTAACACTAAATAAATGAAGTTGGTATAGGGTATTGGCAAGGGGAATCTCTACTCAAGAGGTGGTGAGCATGAGTGCATCTTCATCACGCACAGGCCCTCCAACATTTGATGTACACACTTAAGAAGAGATTATATTATTGAAAATATTGAGGTAAATACCTTACATTTTCAGTTTAAAGAACATATTGTCTCACTACATTACCACTTTAACAAATAGTAACCTATTCTCTAAGAATATCTATTTAAGATTTTCTAATTAATTCATAATAAAATCATTTCTCATGTTTAAATACAGTTTTTAAAAAAATAAAAAAATCTCAATGTAGAATAAGGCCTCTTTAAAATGCTTTTACCATATATTTAAAGTAGATTCAATTAAACATGATGACCAAACAAATTAATCTGTTTTTTTGTCTAAAATTGTTGATAAATTTATCTTTTGTTTTAAAAACTAATTAATCTGTTTCTATTCAAAGAAGAAAAGTTTGAACATGTCACTTTGAATATAATATTCTGTTAAAGAAGATAATTGTATGAATTTGAAAGATTACCTCACTAAACCATTTGCTACTGATACAGAAAATTGCACTCATATTCATGCCAGATTCCCTGAAAACTCAATTTTCACAGTACGATAAGCCTGCACATTTAAAGAAATAAAATTATTATACTTAAAGTTGCTTTTATATTGAACTTGGTTACACACAAATAAGCACAAATAATGGAGCAGCGTGGACTTACCCAGGTCCTCGTCACTGCTTCCTGACGGTCGCCGGAGGAAGTCGACGGAATAGGTACAGCTCGAGTCCATCGTCGGAATAGTTGAGGTCATTCCCTGTCACCGCCGGTCGCTGCCTCTGTCATCGTAGATGCCAAATCGCCGGAATTTCGCCGCTGTGGGTCTGCATCGCTGCGTTTGATGAGGGTCACCGGGGATTGCTGTCGCTGCTGCTCTCATCGCCGATTAGGGAGAATCGCAGAAGAAGGTTGTAGCAGCTAGGGATCCGAGAAGAGGGGCGGCAGAATTCTTTGATCGAGGAGAAAGAAAAAATAGGCTAAAAGTAAAAAAAGAAATTAGGAAGAGGGAGGTGAAATTGGGAGGAGGGAAAACAAATTTAAGAAGAGGGAAATGAAAATTTTTAGAGATTTAGGGTGTGTTTGGTGTGATTTGATGGTGATATAAGATATGAATTTTAAAATCTAGGAGAAGTAATAATGTAACACCCTAATCTGTTCAGGTTTCAGTAAATCATTTCAAAGTTCATATCATAAATAAATTATTTATTTATTCTTAATTTGGTTTTGTGTCAGGTTCTCAATCAAGATTACATAAATAGTCAATATTCGAATTTATATTCTATGAGATTTATCGAGATTATGATATTAGATATCAAAACATATTTCATTTCGTCCCAAAGGCCAAAAATAAAATAGGAGAGATATAATCACAACAGATCTGATGAGAGATATATTTGATTAAATATAATCTAATTTAGTATGATTGTAGTTATATGTAGTTTTATTAGATTAGATCTAATTTATTTGATTAGATCTA